CTTGGTGCAACATTGTTAGTTAAATTAATAAATCTTTATATATATATATATTTATTTCGTACGATTACGGTTTTTCTTTATATTATTTATATTACAGTCTTATCCACCTAATTCTTGGATGGCACATGGTGATGCCTCAATCACACTTTATCAACAATGAAATACAACCCAAATCAGGATTGTATTACGAGAACTTAGGTCCAGTTAAAATCTTTACTAATACCTGTGGGACCTTGCCGTTTTTCTCGATACACCGAATTTCGCGGAACCATGTACCACTATTGAGGATCGTCTAAAAACAGTTACGAAGATATGTTTAGAAAAGTATGAAAAGACTTCACCTAGTTGCGAACCATTTTTACAATACTCAATAAATGTAAAAAGAACATTATATAAATGTAGGGACTTATTGTTAAACTTAGTAGAACACAGAATTAAAAGAAGTGCATGGCATTTTGCGACACAGGCTGCACAAGTTCGAAAAAATTAATTTACCATATGTTTTTTTTTGACAATTTATTTACTAACCAAACACTTTTACGTTTTTGTCCGAAAATGGTTACAATGGTTCGGGAACGATACGTATTAATCGCTTACCAAAAAATATAAAAATTACAGAAAAAACAGCTTGGAAAAAAAAAGTTAGAGGAACATTTGAATACATATTGGACAAAAATAACGGAATACATTATTCAAGATGGTTAGACAATTCTGTCATAACAGTAGCATCTACGTGTTTTGGAAGTATTCCTACATTAGGAGTCAAACGATTTTCCAGAAAAGAAAAAAAAACAATAATTGTTCAGCGACCCCTTTGTATTTGTAAATATAATCAATTTATGGGTGGTACTGATTTAATGGACGAGAATGTAAACAGATATAGAATTGGTTTACGTGGGAAGAAATGGTGGTGGTGTTTGTTTACTTGGCTTATCGATGTATCAATACAAAATGCTTGGATACTTCACAAAAAATCTGGTGGCAATCTATCTCAACTTGAATTCAGACGCGATATCGTGAAGACATATTTGATTACCTACAGTAATTTACCAAAACGACCAGGACCTTCAGCTAAAATTCCTGATGCTGCACGGTATGATGGGAGAGATCATCTAATAATACCAGTAGCTAATGGTATGAGATGTGCGGCCGACAATTGTACGTCCAAAGGACGTACACAGTGTTTAAAATGCAATGTTGGAATATGTGTAATGTGCTTTGCTTCATATCATAATAAATAATATGCTAATAAATAATTTATGTTTTATTAAAATATTCTATTGTACTATTTATTTATGTATTAGATATTGTTATTAATAAAATAAAATAAAAATTGGAATAAAATACAAATATTTTTGATAAAAAAAAAAAAAATAGTTATAATTTTAGTATAATATTTTAGTAAGAAAAAAAAGTTGGGTAATAGTCGAGTGTACCCATATGGTGACACGCTAAATCTCGGATTTAGTGTTGTAAACTTTTTCTTTTTTTTGTTTTGTAATATTAATGTATGATATATGAACCTATTTATGGCGAAAAAAGTACAAAAATAAAAAAATAAAAATTCTCGGCGCTGATGGGTTAATATTTTGTGTTAAATC